GGATAATTTTACTTATTAAAGCTCATAATTTTACCACTTGAAACATCACTAGCCCTGAAGCTGCTGGTAGACATCGCGGTTGGAATAATCAAAGGTTTTTGACACCTGAGAGACACCGTAGCAACTGCTTTGTGTTTGGAAGCGGGGGTGGGGGTGGGGGCAGGGAAGATGATTCAACCACTCAACAACTAGATGTCGCTGAAAACAACAATTCCTACACACTGTGCCTTTAAAGTCTATTCTGTGCCTCACAAGATATTTCGCTAACACAGACAAGTAAACACACCCGTACCGACAGCTGCATTACTAAAACATGGTTTTCTGTGTTCAAATGTCCCCATTAGAAACAAACAGTGGTGGGCAGCACTAATCTAAAAATGAGTTCCACTTGCCCTAAAACACTAACTCAAATATTTAGGTCCCCTAATTCTAAAGCACTAAAGCACTGAAAGTTTTAGTGAAAGCTAATTCTAAAGCACCAAAATAAGCCAGTCAACCCATGAACATTCTTCAACAGATAACATGAGTCACATGTTGCCATGTTGCTCCCTTAATACGTATCATTGACATTCCACAGCTGTATTTGAGTTCATGTATTGTGACCTGGTGGATCAGTGACACACATCTGAACAATATGTGTGTCAGTTTTCACCCTCAGCTGTTAACATTAATGTTGATCAATAACATTTATAGACCTCAGTTAGTGCTTCTAAATTTAACAAGTGCTGATCCACTAATAAATTTTAAAATTAGCAAAAGCCCTAAAGCACTAATCAGGAAATCAGTTCCCCTATTAGTGCTTTAGGGGAACTGTGCCCACCACTGGAAACAAAACATAAAAACTACTTTTATAAAAAATGCGTCTGTATAAACTTCATTATTAGTTATTGTGGATTTACAGTGGTTTGCAAAAGTATTCATACCCCTTGAACTTTTCCATATTTTGTCACATTACAACCACAAACATAAATATATTTCACTGGAATTTAATGTGAAAGACCAACACAAAGTGGTATACAATTGTGAAGTGGAAGCAAAATTTTACATGAATCAAAACATTTTTTACAAATAAAAAACTGAAAAGTGCGACGTGCAAAATTATTCAGCCCCCCTGAGTCAATACTTTGTGGAGCCACCTTTTGCTGCAATTACAGCTGCAAGTCTTTTAGGGTATGTCTCCACCAGCTTTGCACATCTAGTGACTGCAATTCTTGCCCATTCCTCCTTGCAAAACAGCTCAAGCTCAGTCAGATTGGATGGAGAGCGTTTGTGAACAGCAGTTTTGAGATCTTGCCACAAATTCTCAATTGGGTTTAGGTCTGGACTTTGACTGGGCCATTCTAACACATGAATATTCTTTTTTTTAAACCACTCCATTGTAGCTTTGGCTTTATGTTTAGGGTCGTTGTCCTGCTGGAAGGTGAACCTCCGCCCCAGTCTCAAATCTTTTGCTGACTCCAACAGGTTTTCTTCCAAGATTGCCCTGTATTTGGCTCCATCCATCTTCCCATCAACTTTGACCAACTTCCCGGTCCCTGCTGAAGAGAAGCACCCCCAGAGCATGATGCTGCCACCACCATATTTGACAGTGGGGATGGTGTTTTCAGAGTGATGTGCAGTGTTCTTTCTCCGCCACACATAGCGTTTTGCATTGTGGCCAAAAAGTTCAATTTTGGTCTCGTCTGACCAAAGCACCTTCTTCCACATGTTTGCTGTGTCCTCAACATGGCTTCTGGCAAACTGCAAATGGGACTTCTTATGGTTTTCTTTTAACAATGGCTTTCTCCTTGCCACTCTTCCATAAAGACCACATTTGTGTAGTGCACGACTAATTGTTGTCCTGTGGACAGTTTCCCCCACCTGAGCTGTGGCTCTCTGCATTTCATCCAGAGTCACCATGGGCCTCTTGGCTGCCTCTCTGATCAGTGATCTCCTTGTTCGGCCTGTAAGTTTAGGTGGACGGCCTTGTCTTGGCAGGTTTACTGTGGTGCCATACTCTTTCCATTTCCGGATGATGGATTGAACAGTGCTCCGTGAGATGTTCAAAGCTTGGGAAATCTTTTTATAACCTAAGCCTGCTTTAAACTTCTCCAAAACCATATTCCTAACCTGTCTGGTGTGTTCTTTGGACTTCATGATGCTGTTTGCTCCCCAATATTCTCTTAACCAACATCTGAGGCCGTCACGGAGCAGCTGTATTTGTACTGAGATTAGATTACACACAGGTGGACCCTTTTGAGTCATTAGCAGTCATCAGGCAACTTCTGAATGCAATTGGTTGCACTCAGGGAAAAGGGGGCTGAATACTTTTGCACGTCGCACTTTTCAGTTTTTTATTTGTAAAAAATGTTTTGATTCATGTAAAATTTTGCTTCCACTTCACAATTGTATACCACTTTGTGTTGGTCTTTCACATTAAATTCCAGTGAAATATATTTATGTTTGTGGTTGTAATGTGACAAAATATGGAAAAGTTCAAGGGGTATGAATACTTTTGCAAACCACTGTAACTGAGGGGATGAAATGGGACTCGTTTCATAAGTTCACCCAGAGAAAAATAACATCATACTTTCTAATGTTAATTTTTACCTTTTGTCCTTTTGTAGTAAAAGTTTATACTGACATAATACTTTAACTGCAGCCTCTTTTACATATTAAAGCTCCCTTTTAACAAAAAAAAAATGGCTAATAGCTTTTATTTTTCAGTGTGGCACAGATAAATGTCATTCGTGGGTCAAATGACTCTGAACAAGTCGCAGGTATCCGTTGGCCGTCTGACTCTTTTTAAATAATTATATTTTTTTATCTGCATCCATTAAAGCTGAGCTTCAACATTGTTCTGCTGGCACTGAGTTAAAAAAGGTAAAAAGTGACTGATCGCTGCTTTCTGCTCGTATTCAACTCGTTTTTTCAGGGAGTTTAAGAAGTCCAACCTACAAAAGAATATTAGGGCCAGACTAAGAACTTTTAAAGTTTTTTCATTTAAGAGAATAAAGTCATACTATGAGAAAAACGTTATAAATGAATAAAGTCGTAACAATGCATGACATGTCAATTTTACAACTTTACTCTGGTAATATTAATAATTTATTCTTGTAATTTAAAACATTATCTTAATCTGGTCCTAATACTCACGGTTTATGATAAAAAACCGAGGCACATCTTTCTGTTTTTGTGTAAAAGTGAGCTAACGTTCCCGACCCAGGTTGTTTATTATTTTTTGCAGATTAGCACAGACACAGAACCAAATGAACACCTCTCCACTGAGACTCTGGTTGAGCTTTAAACCTCAGATGAAGCTCGGCTTCTCACCAATTTTGAAGAAAATAAAAAACAACTTTTGATGTGAATTACTGTTCGACAGACCTCTATTTATTTAAAAAATAAAATAAATCTCTTGCGTCCTCACAGGAAATCTAACTGGATTGCAGACAGGATGAAGAAACTAATCAAACCCCGCGGAGGAGCGGGAGGAGGGAAAGAGGGACGCGCCCTCTTCATCGCCGCGGGCAGCGTGGAGAACCTGGCCGACAGCAACGAATTAACATCAGACACAAACGCGCCAAAACCCGGTGAGATCACACACACACACACAGAGATCAGCATACAAACCCTTTTATTATTATTATTTTTGTCTTTCAGGCTGACAAATGCACAAACGTCAGCTGACTGGTTTTCACAAAAAAAAATTGCGCCCGCCCGCTCAGCCAATTGAGCGAGGCTGCAGGCGTGCATACAAATCGTCTCATGACTACCAAGTGCACCAAGTGATACGGCTCTCATCTCTTTAAATCTCTCCTTGTAAAAAAGCCTCGACTCACCCGAAGCCGGCGTTCTCTGCTAACCACGTGTTGAAAAGAAAAGAGATTTGCGAGGCTTCATTTCCCTTTTGATGCGTTTAGAGACTAAAATCTCACTTCTGATGCTCTCAGAGCAGCAGACCTGCATCTGTGATCTGTGTCTTCAACACAGCAGGGTTCATGCCGGGTCTTAAAAGGTCTAAAATTTGAAAATCTAAATTTTAGGTCTAAAAAAAGTCTTAAAAACGCCCAGATTTTCACCCAATGTCTTAAATTTAATTTTGTCAAGTCTTAATTTTTTCTACTTTTGATCATTCCTGAGAACTGTTGGCTGCATAAATAAAGAAAGTTAAGTAATCAGAGGTTGACACGATCTGTCTTCATGAAGCGATAAGTTTGCTACTGGTCATGATTAAACTACAAATCCCATGATAACTGCAGGCAAAAATGGCTCAGTTTACTTCCATGTTTTTGACCTCTTTGCTGCTACAACCCCCCCACATCCAGCGGCTTATTTACCTGCTCAAAAAACAGAAGTTCAGTCATGTCCACTGGTTGTTGTTTAAACATGGGAAAGTGTGTTTTCAGTGAGATTTCACTTGATATCAGTGATTTTTTCACCCTGTTGAAAGCAGTTCACAGCAGTCGGATACGACCGTTTCATTCAAATAATTTAGTGTTCTTATATAAAAATTAAATATTCTTTAATAATTGAATTGATAGCAATAAAAGGTTTCTATTATAAAATTTCTGGGACCATTTGAATGTTCCTGTTAATGCGTCGATTTGGTCTTAAATGTCATTACTAATGGTCTTAAAATGACTTTAAAAGGTCTTAAATTAAACTTACTGAAACCTGCCTGAACCCTGACGCAGTAAAACGATCCTGCCTCCTCAAAGAAAATAAAAAATAATAATAATCTTCATTTTTAGCCACATAAACCCTGATTGATGCTGCTTCCTGTCACAAGGAATTCTGTTTTGTTTATTGGGTGCACTTGACAAAACAAGTGGAAGAAACAGAAAAATCTTTCCTTGGTAAAAATAAATAAATAATAAAGATTTTTTTGACAAATTTATCTTTCTCTTGTTAAAAATGCCTGAACTGACATTGAGCAAAAAGATTTAACCTGGAAACTAAACTACATGTTGTCTGGATAAGACGCACCCTTGTTCTGTTATTATGGTATGGCTATGTCCTCCCATACTAATATTCTCATTTAGTCACGAAAGTTGCTCCTTCAAATCTTTATAATATAAATGAAAAAAAAAATACAATACCTGCATTGTATTTGTATTAAACACTTTTGAAGGGGGAGTGCCAAGCATCTTTTCTGATTTTCATTATAAACTCCGGAGAACAAAATGAAAATGGGTACAAGGGAACAAAAGTGAACGTAGGTTTTGAAAAAACGTTGCTACCAGAAACAGGGATGACCTCCTTCTTTAACAGGTTTCTAAAATAATTGTAGCTCCTGTTGTTGTTGTCGAATTCTTGCTGATGTTTTTTGGTGTCGTGAGTATAACTCCTACTTCAAATCCCATGTGGTCCAAGATAAAACAGAAAGTCAGCCCCTGCACCCTGCGAGCTCTGAATTTATTGAAAATAACTCTCACTCAGCAGGTAGCTTAAGTATGAAAAAAAGTGCTGTTGTTTCATTTTATGAGTTTAGTGCTTTAAATGTGGTGATTTCAGCAATGTGAGTGCTGGTAATGTACAGGAGGTTTTCTGTATGTGGCTTTATAAGGTCTACATGAAGAACTGGATGATAAAACCAGTAAGAAGTGAAGACCAGAGGACTGAACACTTTCCACATCCCCACACACTGATTGCTTTGTTGTAGCAAGGTCATCATTGTCAGACAGAATGTGGAGAGACTTTACAGAGTCCCAAGGGGGATCTTTTAAAATTTGAGACGTTCCTCTGCTTTCAGTGAACAAGTGATTTAACTGGGGGAAACTAGGACCAGGATTGGACACCCCTGGTACGGGGGGGCAAAGTTTACGAGCAATCTGAATATTTTGAACAGCTCCTTACACAAACAATAAAAAGCAAGTTGTGGTCGTAAAGAGCTGTTTGTGGTTTTATTTTTGTATTCTTTGTAATGCCTTTTTATTGTTTCGTCCTTGAACGGTTGACTTTTTCACAGAGAACGGGCAGAGTGTTGCAGTACAGCAGGTCAGGGGTTTCTGCTTGGCAAAACCCAAGGTTCCACCCATGTGACGTGATGATGTAATTCGTTCAATAAGGAAAGGCATCCCAAAACCCGGAGCCCTTCAAAGAGCCGTTTATCCAACCCATTCTCACTCCCGAGTCCCGACTCGTCAACATGATGATGTTTGGTCAGGTAGTCTGCGTCCAGTTTTGGACGTGTCGGGTATTCACCTCACGTCAGTTCTTAACGAGATGAGACAGAGGAGGAGTGCACTGTCATATTTTTGAAAAGAATAGGAAATGCACAACAACTAACCGTCCCAGACCCTAAATTTAACTTCTATTAGCCCTATACAGCCTGTCCCTGACCCCAGTACCTAAAATTAACCTTTAATCCTGATCCCTCATATTAACCACAGACCCCCAACACAAAGACCCTTATGTGGCGCAGCCTGGAAAAGCCGCGGGTGGTAATGACTGACGCGAGGGAGGTACCCGACACATCAAAACTGGACACAGACGGTACCTGACCAAGCGTCGTGTTGACGAATCGAGAGTGAGAACGTGTTGATTTATCCCATCTGCAGGGATAGTACCCGGGTGGTCCGGAGTTGGTCTGTGTTTTGAGCAGACGTTAAGTCCTTGGTTGCACTTTTTTCTGGTCAAATCTCGTCCAATCGGTGGATTCCAGCTGTTAGCATCTTAGCTTGGGAAAAGTGACAAACAATACTGTATAAGAACTGTAGCACGATGTTTTATGGTCCTCCTGGTGGACCTTCAAGCTGTTTTCTAAAACTTATATAACTTCAAACACAGCTAAGCCTGCGCAGTGTAACGGAGCTGCTACACGTTGTCGAGTGGACGTAGTCACATGACTAGTGTTCTAAAAATAGCCTGAGTGGAGGTCCCCATTGTGTTATGATGCCGGAGGAAGACGCATCAAGAAAAAATTGCGCCGGCTCGGATAGAGGAGGTGGGCAGCAGTTTTACAGCTTCAGTAGCGGTCGTCACAGTCTCTACTCCCAGTCGGGTTGTAACTTTTTTTTTTTCCTTTGTAAATTTTGTAAACTTGCATCATAAACACTATCTTTGTTTTTGTTTTTTGGTTGACTAATATGTTGAAACAAAACAAAGTGAAAGTTTTTTAAGTTAGACTGACTTCAGCACACCTCCAGGGCTTGTTTGGCAGCAACGGTTTTATTCGAGGTGGGTTTTTATTCTCTGGTTATCAGAGAAAATCCCACCAGGAACAGCTTCCTTTGTTCCTCCCTCCACCTGTCCTCAGAGACCTCAGACTGCAGATAAAGACAAGGAGACTGATTGGAGCCTTTACCTGCTCCTGGTCCCTCATCTGCTCGCCTGCAGCTAAACCACATCGTTTCTGTCGCCGGATTTTATTTAGTGGTTCATTTAATGTGTCCTTTCAATTAAACTGTTGAGCGTCATTAGGCAGCCTTAAAATATGTTTAATTCACACAGACACACACACACACACACACACACACACACACACAGCCCAATGACTATGAGGCTGCCTGATTATCAGAAACACACTTTAGAGGTTTACTGTCGCTCAACAACAAGAAACTAAACCACAAAGCAGCTTTTAATTTACCTCCACCACCTGAGCTGCAGTTAAAACATCCACGTTATTTAATGTGGCGCCTTCTTGTGCGAGAGTCCCGAAAACAAATAAATAAATAAATAAACCCTAAAATCAAAGTCTTTAATTTAAATTAACATTTTCTTATTTCAGACCCCCTCAGCGCTCCGGTATCTCCGTCACCTGTGAGAAAAGCTGGGCATAAACCGGAACCGGACATCTCAGTTCCCGGGACTCTGGCCCTGCGCTCCGGGTCCGGTGGTCGTCGTAAGCTGGGCTCCCGTCATGGCTGGGGGATCGGCTTGACCAGAGGAGGCACCGGGGCGTCTCAGTCCTTCAGCCCTGGAGACCACAAGACGCCCCCACGCCAGAGGTTTGGCTCCAGTCAGAACTCCTCCACCATCCTGTGGGAGGGGACAGGAAGTCGGGCTGATCCGCCTCGGGACCCGGAAGGATCGCTGACCAGTCAGGAGAGTGTCGAGGAGGAAGAAGGGAGAGGTGAGCTCATGTCTGGGAAAATACAAAAAATATTTTTTTGTTTAGATTTAGTTTTTAAATGTATTTATTTTTCTGTTTTTCAGATCATCCCTCCAGTGATGACGTCACATCTTCTTTAGAGAAAACCACAGACTCACATTTAAACTGAAACAAACCTCAAATTTCTTATTTTATGTACCAATATTTTATCTTTTGTGTGTCTGAATCATTCCAGTTTGTCCTAATATTTTTAAATACAAAATAAATCTATTATTCAGTAAAATAAAGATTACCTGACCTCCCTCACCGCCCGCTACATGATAAATTAAAACTTCTGTTAATTAATATTTCAAACAAAATAACTAAAAACAAACCACTGAGGATTTTTGGGGACTCTTGTTGACATTCATTCATTTTTTATTCAACTTGAAGTGATGTTTAATTTAATCAACATTTTCAAGCTTAAATTAAAAGATTTCACAATTGTCTATAAAAATGGCAACAAGAGCCGAAGGTTAATCATTTGGTTGTTTTATTTTATTTTAAAGTTTCAAGTTTCTTTAGAAACAAAACTAAAAGGTTTTATTAAATAGGCAGTTTGAATAGATTAATTATGACCACAGTGAAATGTAGTGTTTTTAATCTAATGTTTGAGTGCTCTCACTCAAACACTGTTACCCAAAGCAGTTTATTTAGCCTCAGAACACACAAACGAGGAACTCCAGCACCTCTGGAGCACCATCATCATGTGTTTCAGTGCAAACAATATAACTATAAATATCAGTTTTTAATTAAGCGTCTCCAATCAGGTACATACCTGTTCTCCAGTCCAATGCCTCCACTGTAATTCAGTATTTTTTGTTTTAAAAGACATTTGGACGGGGAGCCAAGCATCTTTCATTATTAACCTCGGGGAACAGGGGTCAGGGAACATGGATAGTGGGAAACATAGGGTACCAGGGAACATAGTGGTGACCCTTCACAGTCTATTTAACCAGAAACATGTGGAGTAAAGTGCTGTAAATCTAAAAAAAAATATTCATTTGGGTTAAACTAAGGGAAACAAAACAATGAGAAACTGTTTCACACAAAGGATAAAAAAAAAAAAACAAAACAAAAAATCAAATGTCATGACTTGGTCTGGAGTAAATGCCAAAAGAATAAAAGTGCATTTTTCAAGCAGGTTTTTAAAATGTCAAGTGTTGGTGAGGTCGTAATGTGAAAGGGCAGCTGTTCCACAGTTTAGGCTCCCAAAGCTCGATCCGCTCCGTGCTGCAGCTCAGGATTCAGTCGGGAGAGCCGGGATCTCCGGGAAAATGGTAAAAGAGTAGAAGGAAAAGGTGGCGTTCACCTAGTTAATGACTTAAAATACAAATATTTATTATGAAATAAATTCAGTTATTACAATTTGTGTTGTTTTCATATTTCTGTCAGAGGAAGAAAAAAGGCCGAGCCTCAGTAAACGCCCACAGCTGAAGGAAACATTTAATAATTTACAACGAGCAATATATTTAAAAAATCATAAGGCTCTTTGCAAAGACCGTTTTAAATCTTGACTGAAACTAATCGAGAAGTTTGAAAACTTGTTTTCAGGGACGACATCGCCGAGAGGCAAATCAGACATCAAATGTTAGAAAAAAAAAAAAAAACAAAGAAACGTGTTCAATAGAAACTTTACAGAACGCTTCCTTTTATGGATGCGAGAATCTGGAAAGGGTTTCTTTAACACATTTTTTGTTTTAAGACACAAAAGAGATAAATCTCATAGGTAAACATGTTTGTTGATGATTATTTGCTGTTTATGAAAAATCTAAAACACAAATCTAGAGTTTCCTGTGCTTTATGCATGAAAAAACGCAAAGTTTTAAAAAAGACTCGATTGTATGAAAGCAAATTTTTATACTAATTTTCTATCAAATGAGATGTACATTTTCCAGTTTAGCCATAGCCTATATACAGCGGGTAAAATAAGTATTGAACACGTCACCATTTTTCTCAGTAAATATATTATTAGAGGTGCTAATGACATGAAATTTTCACCAGATGTTGGTAACAACCCAAGTGATCCATACATACAAAGAAATCAAACCATAAATGTCCAGAAATGAAGTTATTTGTAATAATGTGGAATGGCACAGGGAAAAAGTATTGAACACATGAAGAAAGGGAGGTGTAAAAAGGCATGGAAAGACAAGACACCAGCTGAACTCTCTCAGTAATTAGAAAGCAAGCCTGCCCCTTGTCAGTGCAAGTTAATATCAGCTGGTTCAGTCCCAAATGATGGCCAGGTATCACACAAGAACCATCTGATGATGGGTAAAAGTAAAGAGCTCTCTCAAGACCTTCACAACCTTATTGTTGCAAAGCATAATGATGGCATCGGTTACAGAAGAATGTCTAAACTTCTGAAGGTTCCAGTGAGCACTGTTGGGGCCATAATTCAGAAGTGGAAAGAACATTATTTCACCATAAAATGACCACGACCAGGTGCTCCTCACAAGATTTCTGACAGAGGAGTGAAAAGAATTATCAGAAGAGTTGTCCAAGAGCCAAGGACCACTTGTGGAGAGCTTCAGAAAGACCTGGAATTAGCAGGTACGATTGTTTCAAAGAAAACAATAAGTAATGCACTGAACCACCATGGCCTGTATGCACGCTCACCACGCAAGACTCCACTGGTGAAGAAACTGCATGTTGAAGCTCCTTTAAAGTTTGCTGCACAACATTTAAACAAGCCTGTGAAATACTGGGATAATATAGTCTGGTCAGATGAGACCAACATTGAACTGTTTGGATGCCAGAATACACATCATGTTTGGAGGTCAAATGGCACTGCACATCAGCCCAAAAACACCATACCAACAGTGAAGTTTGGAGGTGGGAACATCATGGTGTGGGGCTGTTTTTCAGCATATGGTACTGGCAAACTTCAAATAATTGAAGGAAGGATGAGTGGAAAAATGTACAGAGACATTCTTGATAAAAATCTGCTTCCATCTACCAGGATGATGAAGATGAAACGTGGCTGGACATTTCAGCAAGACAATGAGCCCAAACACAAAGCCAAGGAAACTCTCAGTTGGTTTCAGAGAAAGAAACTAAAGCTGCTGGAATGGCCCAGCCAATCACCTGACCTGAATCCAACAGAAAATCTATGGAAAGAACTAAAGATCAGAGTTCATAGAAGAGGTCCACGAAACCTTCAAGATTTGAAGACTGTTTGTGTGGAAGAATGGGCCAAAATCACACCTGAGCAATGCATGCCACTAGTTTCTCCATACAGGAGGCGTCTTGAAGCTGTCATTGACAACAAAGGCTTTTGTACAAAGTATTAGATAAATTTCAGTAAGTGTGTTCAATACTTTTTCCCTGTGCCATTCCACATTATTACAAATAACTTCATTTCTGGACATTTATGGTTTGATTTCTTTGTATGTATGGATCACTTGGGTTGTTACCAACATCTGGTGAAAATTTCATGTCATTAGCACCTCTAGTAATATATTTACTGAGAAAAATGGTGACGTGTTCAATACTTATTTTACCCGCTGTATAATAGGTTTGTAAATCCCCAGCTTTATCACGATACATTAAATCTGTTTGGCTGATGCTACGATTTTTCTCAGTATCAAAAAGTCTGTCATGATTTCAATTCAACTCAATTCAATTCACAAGTCTGATCGATACATCAGTCCACTTTGAGCATATGATGACAATATAATCACTGCTTGTGTTTTGACTTGATATAATTGAATCAATCATTTGATCGAAATGTCATTAATTATTTGAACAAGAGTTGAAGGTGCATGTTAATATTTGAATCTTGATTGGACTCCCAACATCTTTCTTTAAAGTCTAATATATTTGTTTTAATTCAGTAAATAAATTAGAAAACCCATCAACAAATCAACAATCAGGACTAAACAAGGCTAAAATCTTGTAAAGAAACCAGTGAAGTCATTGCCAAGCAGCTGTAATGGCTCTTCCACATTGGTCTGACATTTCAGACTTGGAGGGGGTGTCCACATTTTATTAAACTTTAACTTAATAGACATAAAACTTCCAATCGGAGACACATCTACTACAATCAGCACTGATTCCTTTAATGGAAAAAAAAAAATCCTCTGAGGCTTTTTGTAAACAAATAAATAAAATGTAGGAAGACAGACTGAGATTTAGTCAGTCTAAAATTGACAAATGATGCTTTGTGCAGCAACTGTGGTGAATTATTCACACTGCCATAAAACATAATGTACTGCTGGACACTGGTGTTGCCAACGATTGCTCCACTTTTATCGTCTCAGGAGGACATTTTAAACCACAAAAAGGTGCTCCTGTACTAAATGCACGTCCATTAAGAACCAACTTCAAAATAAAGACAATTTGTTCACAATCGTACTCATACTATTCCCTTTAGGCCATTTAATTAACATTATTTATTGATGCATTTAGTCACGTTTTTGTGCAACCTTTAGCTTTACTTTATCAGTTTTACTGCTTCGTATCAGCTGATAAATCCCTCAGCAGTCCATCAGCCGCTCTGCAGCGTGCGTGGACTTTTAATTACAAACTGCAGGACTGTCGGAGCAGATTTCATCTGCTGCATCATATATATAAACACACACGTTTGCTCGGCTGTGGAGGAAAGTGGACCAGAGCTAAAAGCCCTCGAATGCAAATTTCATTTGAGCATCAAAGTTCAGTCTTTTAAAGTGCTTCTTGTGTGAACTTTTACTGAAACACACCGTCCTGCTGTTTCCTCTGATTCCCTCTCCTTCAACCTGGAGAGGCTTATAAAAATAGCATCTTGTTCACGAGTGATGGCGGGGTGGGTCGACACGTAGAAAGAACTGAGTCAAAAGGCAAACCTTTTAATCTACTGGTCTGTTTATGTTCCAACCCTTCACTGTGGTCACGAGGTTTGGATCATGACCGAAAGAACGAGATCCTGGATACAAGCGGCCAAAATAAGCTTCCTTTGTAAGGTGGCTGGAATCAGCCTTAAGCCTGGTTTATACTTAAACAAGACATGAGATGGTGGATCAGTGATTATCTTATTTTGGACGTCTTTTTCTTTTAGACTCTAAAAGCAAAAGACGTCCAAATTTAGAGTGTTCATTCTAACGTAGAAGACCTGGGAGATAAATCGTTGTAATCCCTCCCACACTGCAAAAACCCTCCACCTAACGAAGTCTATCCAAAGCCAAAAAAGATTTTTGATCTTGTTTTGAGATTGATAAACTAAACGAGGAGAATGTGTTAGATCAGTGGTGTCCAAAGTCAGTCCTCGAGGGCCGGTGTCCTGCATGTTTCAGACGCTGCCCTGTTTCAACACAGCTGAACCTAAGGAGTGCCTCATTAGTAGGCCTCTACAGACCATGATGGCATATTGAGGAAGCCTGCTAATTAAAGTGGAACTTACCCCCCACCCCTGAAAGGATAACTCCGCCCCAAGGCAAATTTGAAAAATACCTACATAGTGGGTAGTGCCAGGAGACCCTGAATGTTGAATTTTAGTCATAAATAGAAAGGTATTACCTTTAGGACACAGATAGTTTATCTGCAAAAAAAAAAAAAGTTGATTTGGGGGGTAAGTCCCTCTTTAAGCACTTCTTAGGTTCAGCTGTGTTGAACCAGAGCAGCACCTAAAACACGCAGGACACCACTGTTAGATTATTAATCTTGTTAGCCTGGAAATTTATTTCAAGTAGTCTTACTAAGTGAAATTGTTGTACATCACTGGCAGATTATTTCACTTAATTTGAGAAGATTCAGATAATAATCTATAATTTTTTAAACTTATTTTTAGATGGCTAACATTTGCAGTGCTATGTGGCACACGTAGCACGTAGCTAAGCATATAAACAGTGACAGCAGGATAAATTATTGTTTCTTTTCTCTTTAAGCTGATGCATTAGACATTTGAAGAGGATTGTGTTGTTGGATGAGGTCAGCAGGAGTTAAACAGAAGCTACAAAATTTTCATCATGCATGACTTTAGAAAGGAGTTATGAATCTGCCTTTAGAGAAGAGGTGAGGAGCTCGGAGTAGAGCCGCTGTCACTCAGTCGGTACAGGTGGTTCAGACACCTGATTAGGACACCTCCTCCAAGCCGTCCTTTGGAGGTAACTTGCTGGAGGATTATTTATCCTTTCTTGGGGAGGCCTGTGAATCTCTCAGGAGAAGCTACAGAGAGGGATGTCTGGGTTAGCGCCTAGAGCAGTGTTTCCCAAAGTTGGGGTCGGGACCCAAAGTGGGGTCCCGAAACATCAAGGTGGGGTCCTGAAAAGATTTTCTGAATTAATTACATTTTTGCCTTAGTTGTTACAAAAGAGTGAGATTAGTATATTTAAAATTGATAAATGTAGTATAAAAATATTGTTACTATGCCCATGTTTTGTTGACCT